GTTCATCAATGATATTGGCCTATAATTTTCCTTTTTTGTTGTGTCTTTATCTGGTTTTTTTTGTTTGTTTTTTTTGTTTTTTTTAAAAAGATGACCGGTAAGGGGATCTTAACCCTTGACTTGGTGTTGTCAACACCACGCTCAGCCAGTGAGCGAACCGGCCATCCCTATAATGGGATCCGAACCCGGGGCCTTGGTGTTATCAGCACCGCACTCTCCTGAGTGAGCCACGGGCCGGCCTATCTGGTTTTGATATCAGAGTTATGTTGGCCTCATAGAATGAGTTTGGGAGAATAGATTCTGTTTCAACTTTTTGGAATAGTTTTAGGAGAATTGGTATTAACTCCTTTTTAAAAGTTTGATAGAATTCAGCTGTAAAGCCATCTGGACCTGGACTTTTCTTTGTTGGAAGATTGCTAATTACTGCTTCAATCTCATTGCTTGTTATTGGTCTGTTCAGGTTTTCTCTCTCTCCTTGGTTCAGTCTTTGTAGTTTGCATGTGTCTAGAAACTTATCCATATCTTCCAGATTTTCATATTTATTGTCATACAGTTGTTTATAATAGTCTCTAATGGTTCTTCATATTTCTGTGGTATTACTTGTAATGTCTGCCTTTTCATTTCTGATTTTTGTTATTTGGATCTTTTTTTTGTTAACCTAGCTAATGGTTTGTCTATTTTATTTATCTTCTCAAAAAAACAACTTTTTGTTTCATTGATCTTTTCTATTGTGTTTTGGGTCTCTATTTCGTTTAGTTCTGCTCTGATCTTAATTATTTCTTTCCATTTACAACCTTTAGGTTTGGATTGTTGTTTTTCAAGTTCTTTGAGTCATAGTATTAGGTCTTTTATTTGAAGTCTCTCCATTATTTTGATGTAAGCTTGTATTGCAATAAATTTGCCTCTTAGTACTGCTTTTGTAGTATCCCACAGGTTTTGGTATGATGTATCTTTATTTTCACTAGTTTCAAGAAATTTTTTGATTTCCTCTTTAATTTCTTCTTGGACCCAAGGACATTCAGGAGCCTATTATTTAGTTTCCGTATATTTGTATAGTTTCCAGAGTTTTGCTTATTAGTAATTTCTAGTTTTAGTCCATTATGGTCTGAAAAGATACTTGGAATGATTTCAGTTTTTAAAAATTAGCTGAGACTAGATTTGTGACCTAATATATGGTCTATCCTGGAGAATGTTCCATGAACTGACGAGAAGAAAGTAAGTTCTTTTGTTGTTGGGTAAAATGTTTTGTATATTTCTGCCAGGTCCATTTGGTCTAAGGTGTAGATTAAATCCTGTGTCTCTTTGTTATTTGTTGCCTGGAAGATCTGTCCCATACTGAGAGAGGGATGTTCAGATCACCCACTGTTTATGTATAAGGGCCTGTTTCTTTCTTTAGGTCTAAGAGTGTTTGTTTTATATATCTGGGTGCTCCAGTATTGGGTGCCTATATATTTATGATTGTTATGTCTTCTAGCTGGATAGATCCTTTTATCATTATATAGTGGCCTCTTTTTGTTTTTTGTTTTAAAGTCTATTTTGTCCGATATAGATTATTTTTTAATTCTACTTTTCCATGAACTTTTTGAAGTATCCTCACATGCTGGTTGAAAAAATTGCAATAAAGATGTCAAAGTGAAGTACAATAACAAGTAATTGGGTTTACCTTATCAGTTATCCAGACCTGTTGAAATGCTACAGTATTTGGAAAGTATGGTATTAGAACAGGATATTCATTTTTATTCCGTGGAAATAAATAGGCCAGAAATAGATTCATGTATGTACAGGAACTTGGTATATGATGGAAGAGGCAGTACACAAATCAGCAGGAAAGGACACAGATTCAACAAATGGTTTTGGAATAACTATATTTTTATGTGGAAAGGAATAAAATGAGATCCTTACCATATCACACATAAAAGTAAATTCTAGCTATCTTATGGACCTAAATAAGAAAAATAAAAATTTTTTGGGCCAGCCCTGTGGCGCACTCGGGAGAGTGCAGTGCTTGGGAGCGCAGCAGCGCTCCCGCTGCGGGTTCGGATCCTATATAAGGATGGCCGGTGCGCTCACTGGCTGAGCACGGTGCGGGCGACACCGCACCAAAGGTCGCGATCCCCGTACTGGTCACAAAAAGGACAAAAAACAAACAAACAAACAAACAAAAAATAAAATGGCATGCTTAAAAAAAATAAATAAATAAAAATTTTAAGCTATTAGAACAGAATCTAAAACTTATGTAGGACAGAAGACAACATAAATAAATGACAGGGAGAAGATATTCACAATGTATTTATTAAACAATATATTATCTAGACTATATGTGGAACACCTGTACTTCTATGAGAAAAGGTTAAACAATTCAGAACAAAAAGTGGCCAAAAGACAAAACCTACCTTTATAAGCAGATACTTAACTTCACTACTCTTCAGGAAAAGACTGGATAAAACAACTTTGAAGTACCATTTCATATCCATCACATTGGCAGAAATTCAGTATCTGACAATTCCAAGTGTTTGAAGAATGTGTGGAAAATGGCATTCTTATTTACTACTATGGGGAGTGTAAATTGAGTATGGCAGTTTCCAGTAAATTTTAAATGTTTAAATGCAGTCCAAAGAAAGTCCACATTAAGATGAGTATGCTAGAGAAGCGTGGGCACAGTGCTTATAGCAGCATAAATATTTGTAATAGCAAAAACTCAAATGTCTTGTTAATAGATGAATGAATGGGTACATTAAATGTGGTGGAAGATGGAACTACTTTATTGTTCAATTGAATTAATTATATCTTTATCAGCAGTTTAATTCTTTAATAGATGTTGAGTGAAAACAGTAACAGAAAGATAAATACAGGATGATTTAAAATCGCATAAAACCACATTATATGTTGTTTCATGTATATGTAATGACAGTATACAAAGATGGAACACGTAATTTATAATAAAACTTCCTTCAGAAAGGAAGAATGGGAATAGAATTTGTTAACTTCAGTAAAATTTTAGTTTTCATTTTGAAATAATGTTCTGAAAGAAATATTACCGTTTTAAAGTTTGTTTATTCTGTATGATTGGAATGTAGGGTTTTGTATTTCCTTTTTCCAGTTTATTAAATGTTTTTCTCATTTAAAAAAACTGTTAAGGATTTATGAGCGAAGGGCAAATTTTTGGCTTCATGGGGGGGTACATATGAAGTCTCTTATAGTCAGTAAACTTTTTATCAAGGGTGAAGTTTGGTAAGATAGCACAGGGGCAAGAAGTTTAGAGATAGATATACTTAGAAAAACAAGAGGTTTAGCAACATTCTAGGATGTTTTCAATTTGAATTATTGTTTGATAACTCAAATTTTGTAAATTGGGATGTGATTTTTTCCCCCAATTTTCATTTCTTAGCTTGAAGAAACTAATAGGACACTAACTAGTGATGTTGCCAATCTTGCCAATGAAAAAGAAGAATTAAATAACAAATTGAAGGATGCTCAAGAACGTATGTATTAGCAAAGAATAAAGTTTATTTTTAATATCCCTAATGTTTATCAGTTGCAGTTCTTATTAATATAATTTTTACATTTTTCCATCTTTCAGAACTATCAAGGTTGAAAGATGAAGAGATAAGTGCAGCAGCTATTAAAGCGCAATTTGAGAAACAGCTGTTAACAGAAAGAACACTCAAAACTCAAGTATGTATAATAGAATGTAAATTCAATTTCGAATTTTGTTTTAGTTTAGCTCTTTTACATTTTACTTATAGCATTACCAACTGAAAGCAGTAGTCATTGAGTCTGACCAGTTAGCCCAGTTGGTTATAGCATGGTGCTGATAACGCCAATGTCTCAGGTTCGATCCCTGTTTTGGCCAGCCACCCCTCCCAAAAAAAGAAAGCAGTAGTCATTGAATATATTAATATTTGTGAACAGTCACCATTATCTGATTTTTGCCAGGTTGGAAGAAGCTGGATTTAATTAACATTGTCCAATTCGATGTCTACTAAAGATTTTCTTAATTTTTCCATATGGAATTACATTCCCTCTCAATTTTTTATTGTTATCTAATAAATTTTTCTACTTTTAAGGAACTATGGGAAATGACCATTTGCTGACAGCTTGAAAAGAATCAGTTAGTTTGAAAAGGCATTGTGTTTATTTAGCATACCTCTGCCAACTCCCACAGTTATATGCATAGCACAAATGTGTGTGGGTACTAGATACCCTTTTCTTTTGTTGGATATGGTGTATTTTCACAATGTAATGCCAATGCAAAATCATCTTCCAGAATAAAAGAAATATCTGCATGTTAAAGTCTCTCTTGGAACACAGAAGTCAAAGTGGTAGAAAATGACATCAGATCAAACCTGTTAATATTTTCAATTACAGTTCTTAGAAAGCCTGAGAGTGAAAAACTGATAGAGTGTAGGATGGAGAAGGATGATGAGTAAAAAACGAGGTGTGTTATTTAAATAATATAGGAAATGCTTCTTCATAGCTTTGTTTATAGGGAAGGAGATTATTAGTGGTTGTATAGTGTAGTATTGGTTAATGACTGAGAATCCATCAGTATAATTTATTTCATTCATGTACTTATTTTTACTTTTTTAAGGCTGTGAATAAGTTGGCTGAGATCATGAATCGAAAAGAACCTGTCAAGCGTGGTAGTGACACAGATGTGCGGAGAAAGGAGAAGGAGAATAGAAAGCTTCATATGGAGCTCAAATCTGAACGTGAGAAATTGACCCAACAGATGATCAAGTACCAGAAAGAACTCAATGAGATGCAGGCTGTAAGAATACTTTTTGGACTCTGTATTGAAGACTTCTTTTTAAGAAGTAGAATTATTTTAATGTCTGTGTGTATTTCACTGGTTATAGAACAGTTCTATTACTTAATAATTATTATTGAACCAAGAAGCAAAATTATGAGATAGATTGTATCTAATGAATTCAAGTTAATTTAATTTCTTGTAGCAAATAGCTGAAGAGAGCCAGATTCGAATTGAACTGCAGATGACACTGGACAGTAAAGACAGTGACATTGAGCAGCTGCGGTCACAGCTCCAGGCCTTGCATATTGGTCTGGATAGTTCCAGTATAGGCAGTGGACCAGGGGATGCTGAGGCAGATGATGGATTTCCAGGTACAGATTTGCTTTCAACCCTTACGTTTGTCTTAAATATAAATCAGTTGCTTTTGTGACTTTGTTCTTGAAGAAAAATGTCATTTCCTTAAGGAGAAACCTACTCCTTGGAGTGGGGAATTCAAAACATTTTTAACTTATTTATTGATTTTCAACAAAATTTTTCATAAAAAGCAAACACGCAAAAGAAAACTCCACATATTTAGTTATTTAAATTAACTATGTATTCTTGTAGCGCTCTTTTTAAGCTTTCATTTTATTTTGTCTTCTTTCTGCATTCTTACTTCCTTTTATGTCGGGTGTTTAGTTCATATCACTCAGTCACACTCTATGGAGTCCATGTCATTCACCTACCAGCGTTCCTCTACTTCTCTCAATATTGCCACTAAGCCTTCCAGTTCTCACATGCTCCTTGACTCTGATTCTGACTCAGAAGAAGAATCTTTGCCTTACTTACCCATTTCATCGGAACCTAATGGTACAGGTGATACCCTGAAAATCTTTTCATCTTTGGAGTTTTTCTCACTACCCTTAATTTTATTCCTTTTGAAAATTCTTTGTAACGTTAACTAATATTCACTAACTCTAACATGTTGCTCTAGACTCAGTTAAAAATAAAGTGCTGCATGAACAAAGAATTTGTTTTTAAGGCATTTTCACATAGCATTTCTACTATAATTGATCATTTATTTTGCCAGCTGAAAATAAGTGGAGCAGTACATTATATTTCTGAAGAGTGTATGATTTTACTGCCTCATTCAGCCATTTTCAGCCAAGAAGAAATTGTTTCTGAGGTTTCATATCAAAAGGGACAGTGCAAAAAAGCACACAAATAGTTTCAGACAATGTATTTAGGTTTTCGTTGAGTACTTATCTAGTCAACATTGTTCTAGGCCTTAAAAGATAACATGAAGCAATTTGGCCTGATCCTTGCCCTGAAAAGGCTTATAGTTTAAGTGAAGAAACCAGAGAGTTGTCTCATCTGAATTAGGGGTATAATTTCTGTTCTCTGGGGTTGTTGTGAGTACTGAAGAGAATTTATGTAAAGCATCTAGCACAGTTGACACATAGTAGATGTTAAATAAGTTATATTTACTTTTACCATTAGAATAATCTCCCCAAATGCTGTTTCACTAATTTCACTAAAAGATACCGATCAAATGTCATTAGAACAAGTTCTAAGGATTCAGACACTTTCCTTTGTTTGAACTAAAATTTTATTGATTTTGATATTTTGTAGTTTAGAAATCTTTTGGTTATATTGCTATTCATTAACCAAATTTGATCCTGTAATTTATACAATTGTATTTCATTTTAATATAGCTATTCTAAAAATCCATTTTCTCTGAACTTGTAAATACTTATTTAAAAAATTTCTTCTCGAAGATGTGCACTATTTCCATAGTTAGGCCTTCTTCTAATGTGGGTATACCAGTGAGGATAGAGAGCTGCTGCTTCCTTCCTGTCTTTCCTTTTTTTTTTTTTTGCATGAACTTAGTCAACAGGACATTTGGATTTTGTTCTGCATTGCATAACTTGCTTCTACTGATCCTGCATTATTATTGTATCGTAAAAAATATGCAGTGATAAATTCTGAAAGACATTTTTGATTTGTGACTTTAATGTTAAAATTTTATTAAATTCCTCATTGTCTAAGGAGAATTGTTAATATTTATCCTTATATCTTTGTTTATTTATAGAATCAAGATTAGAAGGATGGCTTTCATTGCCTGTGCGAAACAACACTAAGAAATTTGGATGGGTTAAAAAGGTAATTGGTGCTTTTGAATATGTTTTTTGGGGGGATTGGTTAGCTCCAGCCATGTCACTTTTGTAATTGCAGGATATTTAAAACTAGAACTTTTAGACACAAAACTGTTTATTCTTTCTGATTTGGAAAGATGTGATTTTATTTATCTTTGTAAAAATTTTTTTGTCCTTCATATTTTGTTAATAATAAAACAAGTTTTGGTGTTAGGAAAATATAAGCCTGTTGACCTTGGTACTTTTGCTGTGTCAGTGGAAAAACAATTCTGGATATGATAAAAGAAAAAAGACCCATTTATTTCTTTCCAACTCTATTAATATGATTATTAATGTCATGTTTATTTTTGATAAGGTAACTAATACTGTTGGATTCCAAAGCTAAATAAATCCAAAAAATATTTGACTTTATGCCCCCCCCAATTTGCTTATTTAAAATACCTACAAACAAAATTAATTGTTATTTTAAGGAGGACTTTTGAAAAAGATATATTAAGTACTTTTTAGTTATTTAACTTAGTTATTTTATGCGTTTTTATTGATAATATAGAATTCATTTTCAAAGAAAATCAATAAATAAGATATATAATAACTTTAATCGTTGTTTGATTCTTTTCCTCCCCTTCTTTAACAGTATGTGATTGTAAGCAGTAAGAAGATTCTCTTCTATGACAGTGAACAAGACAAAGAACAATCTAATCCTTACATGGTGTTAGATATAGAGTAAGTGATTTTATTAGAATATTTAGGAACTATAAAGTTTGATAAAAGTAATATTGTTTTGGTCAAGATAGTACAATTTATTAGTCATATGAGGACTCAGTATATAGCTGCTGTTGTACTATTGTTATATTTTTTTATAATTTGCTTTATACAGATGAAAGTCAGAGATGTTTTAGTTAGCTAAAACATCTTTATTTCTTGGATCTTTAATATATTGTTTTCTGAAACGAATTAGAAAATTTCTGACTCATTGGAAACTTCTGAAAATCTTAAGTAATGATCGAATTAATAGAACAAGGTAGAGCTGGCTGGTTAACTCAGTGGTTAGAGTGCCTTATAACACTAAGGTCAAGGGTTAGGATCCCCTTATTGGCTAGCCCCCCCCCCCCCCCAAAAGAACAAGCTATTCTATGAGCAGCTAATATGGATCAAAGTAGTCAATTTTTAACTTCTGACATAAGTATATGATAACTAATATAATTTGAACTTGTGTAATATTTTATTCCTTTATTAAAAATCTTTTATAGCAAGTTATTTCATGTTCGACCAGTTACACAGACAGATGTATATAGAGCAGATGCTAAAGAAATTCCAAGAATATTCCAGGTAAACATAGTTTTATTTTGTTTTTATTTGGTTAGTTGGTTTTGTTTTCTTTTTTTCTTTTTTTTTTTTTACCTTTGTTGGTTCTCATATGATATACATATCAAGTTTCTTTATTCTCTTGTCTTTTTCACATTACCTTTCTGTTTCAGTCCCATTTAAAGATAATTTGTTCTTTTGTGACTTTTTTGCTTATTCTGTTTGGGTCCATTTTCATTCCTCTCCATTTTATTTACTAAAGTCTGTAGTGTGTTTATATCATGTTCCCGGTCTTTTCTATCCTTTTGTTCAAAGTCATCGGTTATGATTATTTTTTTAAAATATGAACTTTCCCCTTCTGTTTTTGGTTATATGCTCAGCTCTCTAAAATTTCATAAAAGTCACTTACGAAGTTAAATTTTGTACCTGGTAGCTCTTTTACTTCCAATTTAAAGTGAAATCAAATTCTTCCCTTTACTATTTTCTACTTTTAAATTAGTCAAACGACAATTGAGTTTCCTCTGTGTAAAAGCCATTGTGCTTAGTGTACTGTGGGGAATTGGCCCCTTGTTATCCTATGGTTAGGTTTATTTGGAGTATGTTACACATCCTTTCCTCTTTTTTCTTTCTCCCTCAACACTCCATATACAATATTTTTAAAAATGAAGTTGTGCTCACAGCTACCACCCAATTTTCTGTTCTTAAGAATTATAAAACACCAATTAGTATAATTGCCACATTTACTTTATAATGCCTGTGAAGTGTAAATTTATCTTTTGCTGGCCTATTCTGATAGTGTTGATAAATCATAGTAAGATAGAGAAAATAAGGAGGCAGCATTTGAATAGGATCAATTCTTTTGAAATGTGAACCAAAGTGACTAATGACTTTTCTCATATAAACTCTTAATTACGCAGAACCTGCGTAGGTTTGAACTTCACGTGCATATTCTTTTCATTGAATAGGCTAATTTTATTTTATTAACACCGTCAGAATTGTCACTATGTAAAAAATAACTCATGTTTGGAAATTATTCATTGTTCTTTTTGGTATTTATAGATTCTATATGCCAATGAAGGAGAAAGTAAGAAGGAACAAGAATTTCCAGTGGAGCCAGTGGGAGAAAAATCTAATTATATTTGCCACAAAGGACATGAATTTATTCCTACTCTTTATCATTTCCCAACCAACTGTGAGGCTTGTATGAAGCCACTGTGGCATATGTTTAAACCTCCTCCTGCTTTAGAGTGCCGTCGCTGCCATATTAAATGTCATAAAGATCACATGGACAAAAAGGAGGAGATTATAGCACCCTGCAAAGGTAAATAGTAAATGACTTGCTCCATCAATGTTAGTTATGTTCAGATCATTTTAAGCATATTAATTTTTTTCAAATGTTTCTTTATAGTGTATTATGATATTTCAACGGCAAAGAATCTATTGTTATTAGCAAATTCTACAGAAGAGCAACAGAAGTGGGTTAGTCGGTTGGTGAAAAAGATACCTAAAAAGCCTCCAGCTCCAGACCCTTTTGCACGGTCATCTCCTAGAACTTCAATGAAGATACAACAGAACCAGTCTATTAGACGGCCAAGTCGACAGCTTGCCCCAAACAAACCAAGGTAATAAATAAAAAATGTGTTAAAAATGAAAGTTTTAAAAAATATTTTGCTGTTTATGTTCAGATTATAAATTTCCCTAATTATGGTTTTTCTGTGCTTGGTATTTTAATGAACCATGGAATACCAAATGTTCAAAACTGTTTTAGTGTGCATGTGTCAGTCATTGATTCCAATGAAAGTAATACAATTTTATTTACAAAATCACATGCATATATTAAATTTAACTAAAAATCTATAAAGGGTTTGTTTTGTCACATGTATATAATCATACTATTTTCAGCTTTTATAAGTACATTGACTAATTTAGTGATTTAGGAGATAGGCTTGATAATTGCACACATACCTTCAAGTGGCAGGTACACACACTGTGTTGCATATTGCAAGCTTTTTTCTATTAGGTGACTTGGGAGGCAGAACTGAAATCAGCTTAAGTCTTAAATCTATAAATTTAAAACAGTAACTTGTTTGCAATTTAAAGAGCAAGATAGACCAGTCTGTAAAAATGCAGATATTAAATAATGAGTAAAGTGGGTATTCTTGGAATTGAGATGGAGTTAGGAATATAGATTAAGGTCAGGGATGATCATTATGCAGAAACATTTTGATGGAGCCATTTTCATATGGTTACATTAAAGTCATTTAATTAAATATCTTGATTCAGAATAGCCATTTCTTGGCTTACTAACTACTACAGCATTTATAAGCATTGTTATTAATTGAACGTGAAATGAACATGAGGATTTGGTTAGCGAAAGGAAGAAGTATATACGTAGATGAAGTATCTAATTTCAGATGTCCTTTTTGTTCCCTGACACAGGACCTTCAGTATATGAATAATGATGTGCATTGGCTGTATTATCAGAAATCTTATCATTGTAATCACAAACATCCTATCTGAAACTCTTGAAACTAATATCTCAAGGAAATAATTTAGAATGACAAAGGTAGAATTGGTGTTTCAGCAGTGAAAATGTTGAATATTTTGTGTGAGGTATGATAAAGCTAAATATTATAAAATTAGTGATTTTATGATAGTAATTAAGCTAAAGAAATTCAAAGAATTCAGAGACACTGAAGGCCATTCTATGTGCCTTGTGTAAAATATCTAAAAATTAAATTCCTATTATTAATGTAGTAGAACGACTGATGCATAAATGCTATTTTAATATCTTATAATATATAATGCTTTTCAGCTTCCAAAGTGCTTCCATATACTCTGTTCTCTTGTTTAACCTCCTACATATTTTCTCATGTTATCTTTAAAACAGTCCTGTGGAGTAGAACAAGCATTGTTATCTTTCTTTTTTATTGAGACTCTAGAAGGAGAAATAGTTTGTTTAGATTCAGGACTGTAACAACCCCAGTCCTTTTGTTATATATATTTTTTCTTTTGTGCTATTTGAAAGGTTAATGATTTCACTATATATGATAATGTATAGAATTAGTTTATGAAGCAATTTTCAGACCAAATAAGGCATGCTTTCAATTACATAACAATCTGTTTTCATGTTCACTGACATAAATACTCTCCTTGGCATGTGCTGCTCCCCGCCACCCAATCAGCATTATGGTCTGTTTGGTCTATTTGAAAGCACATTTACTTTTGATTTCTGTTACCATTTTTTTTAAACTTCTGGCCCTTCCTTTTGAATCATTCTTCACTGATTTTTTAAATACATTTTGTCATAACAACAGTAAGTAATGGGTTTCTTTCTCTCACAACTGTGCAGATAGATATAACTAGTATCAAAACTGACTGTAAAAGTACCCTGTATAGGGTACATTTTTGAAAAATTTTTTATTTAATATACTCTTTGCAATTCTAAGTGTAAGGATGGGCACATTTAAAATAGCTTTCATTTTTGATTTTGTTATGCTTCTGCAACATTACTTCTGTTTCTAAAACATCTCAGTCTTCATTTCTTCATTAATTCATAAAATTGTGTCGGTTTCTATCTTTACACGAATCAGCAGCCTACAGTCTGCATTCTATTTTGGATGTCACATTTTAAGAGTCACACAACCAAATGGGAGGGTATACAGAAGAAAATAACCGAGATAGCAGTGGGTCATTTGAAAGTATACATGTAGCAGGTGAAGGAACTTAGGATGTTTTGTGTTCTGAAGACATTATTTGAGAGGATGGGAGGTCATAAATAGCACTAAACATTTAAAGAACTTTCCCTTGGAAGATGTATTAGAACAAGAACCAATCAGAGGCACAGTTTCAGTTCAGTAAGGAAAAACTATCAGGCAATCAGATTTCCAAAACTGGAAGAATTAGCTTCTTCTAGAATAGCAAGTTCCTGATCATCACAGGTGTTTACATGGTTTGTATGACTGCTTGGCAAGACTGTCACAGAACAGCTCACCTCAATCTCTCCTGTGTATAAAATCACATTGAGCAGCATGGTTCTAGAAGAGAGTCAAGCTAGATGGCCTTTAACACTCTACTGATTCATAACATTCTTATAAACAAATAGGTAGAGCTGTTATAGGATCATTCAAGAAAACAGGGACAGAATTTCTGGTGTGTATCAACGGGGATTTAATATCTAGCTTTTCACTTGTGTTTAATTCTCGTCTTAGCACTAGTCATTATAGCTTTTGTTGAACTACTTCACATGGTGCCCTTCTTAAAACAAACATTTGACTTTGTTAGACACATCAAATATGTATATTTATATACTCATTAAAATATATACCAATAAATATTCACCTAATCTTTTTTTTGGGTAACTTTTCCTCATTGTCTTTGTTAACAACTGCACCATTACATGTTTTCCTTTGTCTTTGACACTCCTAATTGTGATTCTCCTTTTAACTCACTTTGCAGCAATTTCCTTTTTCTGTAGTGGTGAAGTGTTTGAAAATAATAGATAAGTGTTAGCTACCATTATTAGATAAAATAACATTTATGAGTGTTTATATGCCAGGTGCTCTTCTGAGAGCTTTAACTATGCTAACTTATTTATCCTCAAAACCACCCTGTGAGGTAGCTGTTAATATCTCTATTTAACAGATAAGGAAACTAAGGCACAGAAAGATTGTGTGCCAAGGTGACACAGCTGATAAGTGGCAGAGCCATGAGTTAAAGTCTGGATAGTCTATTTCCAGAGCCTGCACTCTTAACTGTAATACTTCACTGCCTCACAGTGATGCAAGTAGAAATTAGTTGATAGTTTATAAAACATAATGTGTACAAATGCTACTCTAAAGGAATGTTTTCTTGATAATTTTGAATTAAAATTAAAATACTGTGCTGGAAAAGTAGAAAATTGGTGAATAAAATGCTAATTTTGTATGAAGACAGTTTGGGGAGATCCTAATTTGTTTCAGTGCAAGACAAAATACTGGTTTGGCTAGCAGGCATCTCTCTTTAGTTACTTTTCTTTTAAAGATCTTCTCTAAAAAATGCAATATTTAGGTGAGGCAGAGAAGCATAGGCCAAAATGCAACAAATACTCATTTATCCAGTTTTAAGAGGTAAAACATGCCAACAGTTAAAACTTAAGGATTTGGAGAGTTATTATGTCATTATTATTATTTTTGGTTTTTTTCCCATTTCAAAATATTAGAAAGTTAACAAACTAATAATTATTTGGGAAAAATAATAAAGTTATATACAACTTGAAGTGTCAAAAACAAACCTGTAAATGAAGTAGAAGAAAATGGGTGATGTTGTAATATTTGTAATGTTATGTTGGATTGGGGTTGAGAGAGGGTAAGGCAAGGAGTGGTAGAAGATGACATGACACTGGAGAGAAAGCTTTGAGCCCAATTGAAAAGGACCATGTACACTTAAAAAACTATGCTGAGGAATTTTGAATTTATTCCACAAAAAGTTGTTCAGTAAAGGATTAGTATGTTCAGACTTGATGAGATCCTGAACTGAGTCCAAGTTGAGCATTCCTAATCCAAAAAGTTGAAATCCAAAATGCTCCAAAATTAGAAACTTTTTGAGCACTGAAATGATGCTCAAAGGTCTTGCTCAAAGGAAATGCTTATTACAGCATTTAGGATTTTGGATTAGGGCTGCTGAATAGGCAAATATATGCAGATATTCCAAAATCCAAAAAAAAAAATTTGAAATCAGAAACACTTCTGGTCCCAAGCATTTTAGTTAAGGGATGCTCAGCCTGTATGAGGGTACTTCACAAAGTTCATGGAAAAATAGAATTAAAAGATAATATGAATCTTTTCATGAACTTTTCGAAGTACCCTTGTAGTGACAGTGAAAATGGAGAGAAGAAACCTGGATTCAGAAAGATTTCTTAAGTAGAAATAATTAGAATTAGGTGACTGACTGGAAGGGGCTGAAGGAAAGTTTGTAAGGAAAGTCTTGTCATGCATTGCACTAATAGCTTAATGATCGAACTTTCAAATTTGAGATTGTGACACTGGCACACATTTAGAGGTTTTGGAAGGATATGGAATGCAGATTTTTCATAAGGTATGCAAAAACTGCGGCTTAAACACCCAGGAAGGCCTGCTGATCTCAGTCTCCCAAACAGTAGAGCTAAAACCATAGCTAAAAGTTACTTTACATTTAAGCATAGTTGTATGTGATATGTGTTAAGTGAACAAACAGTTATATCTAAGTTTGTGTTTTCTCATATATTTTGTGTTCAGCATATTTTGAAAGAGTAATTTGAGTTGGTTTGTTTTCTTTTAAATTAGGGTAATCATCCATCAGCCTACTCTGTCAGTGTTTTTTGAAGTTAACCTGCTGCATCAAAAATTACCTCAGGTTTTTAATTTAAAAGTGCAAATGCTTGGGTCCCCCTCTTCAGTCCAATCATATCAGACTCTCTTTGGATGAGGCCTGGGAATATGCATTATAAAGGACATTAGGAAAATCATATACATTAAAGTTTAAGAACCAATGACATAGTGATTACAGTTGAGACTTTGGGGACCAGGTGAGTTCCTTGGCAATGGTTGATTCATGAACATCACAGTTATAAACAATGAAAAGTTACTCCTATTTTTTAAAATAAAGATGATTATAATATTACAGTTTAGGTTATTGGATTGGAAAGAAAAGACCACATGTACCCCAGCTCTAAGTCTAGTTTATTTAGCCAAGATAAGTTGCTAATACCACTTATATACCTGTGGCTTTTCCCTTATCCCTAGTTTTTCATATGTACGGCATAGCTGTCAGTGACCATTGATTAGGTAGGGTCCTGCTGGAATTGAGAAAGCTGCGTACTTATTGCTCCCTGTTTCCACTAGGGCTTATGGTGCTATTATGGAAAAAAGTGAGCTGACAATCCAAGCACTTTTGTGAACAGAATGTTGACATATGTTGAGCTTTCCTAGTTCTCAAATCAAACTGGGCCTCAGGATAGTTATATTTTTATATAGGGTTTGGCAGTGAGGAGGGGGAAGCAGATTTTGTCTTATCTCTGACTTTAGTTCCCTGGTAGTCTGGACCAACATGATTATATGCATTGACATATAAAGGGAAAGGTTTCCCTGTGTGCCTCCAACTTAATTTTAATCATGTCATCAATGAAGGAAAGTTAAAGTGCTTACAGCACGTTCAATGTATGGTTTCTAGGTCATAGCATTAAGTTGCAGTTTCTAAAGAATGTTAGAGTATAGTATAAATTTGCAAACCTCCTATTGCAGATTGCTTGATTTGTCATTTAAAGACTGGGATTGGTCATTTGATGATGTTGATGGTGGTGATGATGGCGATGTTTTTGATTTCTGAAGAAATAAATGGGGTAAATCAAAAAATGAAAAATGAGTTAGTACTTCCATGTAGCGCATGTGGTTTGCACTTGGGCTTTCATTATTTTTAACCAGTTTAAAAGTTTTATAAACTCGTTTTAAATAGTATATATTTAAAAAGTAATTTTCATAAAAGTTTCTAACTTAAATTTCTATGTTAAGTATAAAAGTTAAATGCTATGTTCAGATTCTTTATTGCCTCTAAATTTTCAATACAGTTGGAAGTATTTTTAATCTTAGGAATGAAACATGTAGAAATAACAAAAGGAGCTAATTCTGATACTTTCTATCCATTTCTAAGAAGCCACATTGAGAGGAGAAGTAAAACTTACAATGTTTTTAAATTCGTACAACTATACTAGTTTGTGAACATAGCATGAGATTCTTTTCACTCTCCAACCCTCCCTTCTTCCCTCTTTTTTTCTTTCCAACTTGCAAGAATTGAAGCCATTAAAAACTTTATAAGTCTAATAAGTGCTGTGAAATAGTTGTTTCTGATTTGGCTTTCTTTGTGATGCTGTGAGATGTTTGCTTTGTGAGAATTTGTTACCCTTGCTGAAAATGCTAATATGATATGCTATGAAAATTCTTATGCTTTTAGAAAATGTAAAACGCTTTGGTTAATAGTGGCTAAAGGAGATTTGAATGAAAGTTGAGCCTCATAACTTATAGAATAGATTTAAAAGAAGTAATATCTGTCTTTATCTAAATAAGCAAGTTGCAAAACATATTCTTAAATCATGTACTATTGGTATCTGTTTATAACCAGGTTTTATAGAATATCTTTACATATATTTACTACAACTATGTGTTTGTTCCTAATTTCATAGATTAAAAAATATGTGGCTTGGGTCAAACATCAAATAGAACCTGGTCTGTAAGTCCACTGCTCTTTCAGCTACATGAAGCAGCTAGCAGTTAAGCCCCAGATCAAACATATGCAGATGAGTTATTCCATGGCATGTTTAACCCCAGCAGCTAGTTAACCATATTAAAACTTGTGGGTAATGTTTGTAGCCAGTATGGGACCTCCAAAGTTCTTAGTGGTATTGAGAAAGAATATAATTGCATGTACCTAAAAATAAAAATATAAGTATGCTTATGCATGATTGGGGTGTTAAAAGTATAGTAATTGGAAGACAGTATAGTATAGTTTAATAATGTGAATAGAATACCTTTTCAAGGAATTTAACAGTCTCTTAAATTATTTTACTGTATCAACTAACTTTATTTTTTTTCTTTCCAGCTAACTGCCTTCTGTGAAAGCAGTCATTATTCAAGGTGATCATATTCTTCCAGTTAAAACAGACTGAAATATGACGGCCCAAAATTTATTAAAAAGCTATATTTTCCTGAGAGACTGATGTATATACACATACATATAAATGTCCCCTTTTTTCCTTAGTAAAAGTTACAAATCTTGGAGAGATTTTCTGGGCTCCTTTGAAGTAACAAGTTGAACCAACAATGATTGGTAATAGAATAAGGATATCATGTGCAACTCTTCCACACTTGTTCCATAAAGCTCTCTTGGCAGTCATTCACACTACATTGCACAAAAGGATTGAGAAGAGTTAAGGTTTGAAGAGATCGTCTTTTCTGCTTCAACAGAGAGATTTCACCAGCACATTTACCAGAAGAATCTGAGGATGGATTGTACTACAGTGATATTGACGACATCTTTAAGAAGTGACCATTATATACACACACACATATATAAAGTACTGTAACACTGCAAGAGGGTTTTTTAAACTTCCCCACTTTATTTTTTTATACACATTAATCAGATATCATTACTTACTGCGGTTGCAACTATGCACTTGTATAAAGCCATAATGTTGGAGTTTATATCATTCATGTGTACCTGATGGAAGCTGCATGTTCATGTTTAAGCAGTTACTGTAACAAGAAGTTTGAAGTTAATTATTATCAGTTTCCTAATGCTTTGTGATAGGCAACTTTACCCATTTTGAATGCCTTAATTTAATTTTTTTTCAGTTTCAGCCCTTTTCTGTATTTAAAAAAACAAAAACAAACAAAAAAACTAGTGTTTACCAGCTCTTAGGATTCAAACTTGCTTTGTGGAGGAAAAATAGTGCATTATTTTTACACATAACAATTATATCAATGTCAGCCTATTTTGATGGTATAACAAAAAATTTTTAACGTATTGGTCATAGAAACAATAATGGATAGTATTGGAACTAATATATCTTTGATGTATATCTGTTTTTCATCCAGCCCTTTTTACAGACCTCAGTATTAGTCTGTGACTACAAAATATTTTTTGCTTTGAATTTGCTGGCTACCCTAGATGTGTTTTTATTTCTGGTAAAGATATTTGTGACTATTTTTACATTTTCACACTCAAGATTCAAATATTGTGTCAAATATAGAGAAAACTAAGACATACTGTAGATATAGATATATTTTAAATATTTAAATGTGATCCTCAGACACACAACTATATGGCAATATTTCAGTACTGGGTTAGGAAAATTGGTAACTGGGAAGAATTGGCCTCAAAGGCACTTAATTTTATTTTTACTTTTTAAATGCTGTTAAAATTACAATTTATGCAGGACCATTTCTGCTATATTTCTCACTATCCCAGATAAGTATATGTTTTATACCACAACAGTATGCAGCAATGATAAGCATCAAGTTTTTTTAAAAAAAATTATGTATTCTTTTATCAGTCTCTCAATATACATACACACAGTTTGGTATGTTATTGAAATAAATCATCTAATATTTCAATGAAGGAAGTAGACATTTTTCATTGATCCCTTCTAGGGTCACTGTAGAGATGTTTAAAGAGTTAGATCCCCATTATAGATATTATTAGGGAAACTGAAGAGTGGCTGTTGGCCTACTGATGTATTGAAACTGCATTTTGTTATTCTGACATTATCCAGTCTGCGCTCATTTTCATGCCGTCTGTGCTGAAACTAGATGTGCATGCCTTTTCCCTTGCAGGTATGTTCTGCAGTTCTGGTTTTGGGTGACAGCTTTTTTTTTTTTAAGATTAAAAAATGAAAAATATATAAAATTTATATAGAATAAATATTTCCATTCAGTAGAGTTGTTAAAAGGAGACTGAATTAATATTTTATATAAAGATTTTGTTACACTATGGGAGGTTCTATCCTATTATTCTGAATTGGAGAGTATATATATATATTTTTAATAAACTTTATTAAGGTGAAATAATTTCACGTTTACACGTGAGTAACTGAAATATTTGAGTTAAAAAGGCAAAAGTTTAAATTTTGAATGCTGTATATATTAGAGAATATGGAGAATCATGGTGTGATGCAACTGCACAGGAAACTTAATGTGAAGTATTTTGGATGAGAAATTCTGAGGGGTGAAAAAAATCTCTCCCATGGAGATGCTTCACTTTATATGGTTGGACTTAAGGGTTTATAAAGGTTGTTTGTCCAAATAATGGAAATGTGCTTAATAAAAAATTCTTACCTTGGGTAAAAATTTGCTTTTTACCCCATTGCCGTTTTCATATACATACATGAGTGCACGCACCTATCCATGTGTTATTTTCCCCAACACTCATTAAATATGAAACAACCTGATTTTGTGCCAGTTTCTTGTTATCTTGGGGCCCCAAAGCTTCCAAGGTAAATACAAGACCAAACATTGCTTATTCTTCACACCTGATTTCTCCTAGAGCCATAAATACCTCCTACTGGGAACTAAGAAACAGTGAATACTGGGATTTTCTTAGTTGGATTTCACTTCTTTTGTGGGGATTTGGGGACAGAAGTAGAAGGAAAACTGGTGCCGGTATTACTGTTGAAAATTTATGTAGTGAATTTTTTTAAGTATTAATTTTTTAAAAACATGCTATCTAGGAGCAAGATTTAAAAAATCTGAAAGTTTGAATTGCTCTAGCTAATTGACAAGTATGCCAAGAAATCTAAAAGAAAGATTAGTGCTTTTAAAACTAACCTATGCTAGAGTTTCATGAACCTGGCTCTGAGGGATCTACTTTGCATCATTTTATCTGTAGATCCTAAACAAGAAGTACTCTAGGTTGCCAAACCACAATTTAAGAAGTTATGCTGCTGCTGTTAATCTATTCTTGTAGAATTCTGGTGGTCAAATAGAGAAAGTCAGACACAACGTTAACCTTGTTGAAATGTGCTTTAAATAACATGTTTAAAATCTGATTAGAGCAAATCACTTCTGAGTTTCTCAGTCTGTGTTGACACTGCTACTGACTCACCTCTTTCCCTGGAATAAGGTTTTTGTTTCCTTATGTTGTGAAGATACCAGAATTGATCTGTAAAGCACTTTGAAGATAAGCACTGTCTGACAGTGCAGAATATTATGCTTGGGGGACCTCTCCTTGATTCTCTTCCCCATAATAATGAGTTTTATTTGGGATTGTAATAAGTTATGAACTGCATGGTTTAGATAATCATAAATATTTGATCAGCTGTCCCCTCTGAACAAAAATCATATCCCCTTGATTTTTCATTTTTAAATTTTGTTGCATCTTTCTAGTAATGTAATTGTATTTTATGCCTGCTTTTTATAAAAAAAAAATTAAATAAAAATTAAGACATAAGCATTTTTATACTTTTCCTGTGAATTAGTCTTGATATACTGCAACCTTCTAAAGTTTACCCCCAAAATTTACCTTCTCTAAAAGATGGGATGCGTATAAGCAAACAAGTCTTATAACTAAGGCTGTGTAGACTTGTGATTCTTCTGCCCTGTCATTTAGTTCATGAAGAAATACAAAATAGAATTTCAACCAGGAGTCTGCCTGATTTAATTTGAGCATTTTAAGGGTCATACAAACCTATCGATTTGAGCTGGTCAGGATAGAGGAGGAGGCAGGATGCCTGTTTTGTCAGGAAATAACGTGCTGATAGGTGGTTTTCTAGAGTGTTTCTCTGGTAATCAGTGGGTTCTTTTCTAGGACACTTACTTTTTTTTTTTTTTTTTTTGTCTTTTGTCTTTTTTTTTT